CCTGCTGGTGTCAGCCACAGTGTGACTGACAGACCCAGGTAGCCTGCTTGCCACAACCTGCAGACCAGATGGGAATCAGGGCTAGTTGCTGCAAACGCTGGTTTTTACATAGTAGTCCGACCCCTCCCCCATTTCCACTGTAGCTGTAGGGCCGAATGACTTTCGGATGTTCATAGAAAACAATTATTGCACCTTCAGGTGAAGGTGCTCAGTAGATACCTTCAAAATCTACACTGCTTAAAACAGCTGCAGCAGCAGCAGCGTCAGAACGAGACATGGGATCATGCTTCAGGTTACTAGTTTGAAAGAAACAACGTCCTGTTAGAGGATGGTGTGGCTGGGCAGGTCCTTTAACAGTGGGCAAACATGGCTTCAGACTGAGCATCCGGAAGTGGGAGGAGGAGAGCCCAGCCCAGTCACGGTGCTCTTTGAAACAGCTGTAGTTGTGAGTTAATGTTTTCCAAGGTGTTACATTAACGTTTCCACCACGGTGTCTTTAAAACTCAAAAGATGGGTGAATTACAAGTAAATTTTAGTTAAACTTGAAGACGACCCCAGGAAGCAATGAGCCTTTTGACGCAGTGTGCTGGGGAGGAACACTTACAGCCTGAGCCGATGCGACCTCAGCAGCCAGCAGTGCAGGTGGTAGGTTGTGTGCACCAAACAAAAGTGAATCATGGCGACCCTGGTCCGGTGGCGTTCAGAACAGTTCTGTCTGAGATTCCACACCCATCCGTCACCTCCATGTTGGGACGGGCCACAGTGTAGGAGCTCACTATGGCTTGGAGGGTCGAGAGACTCGCTGAGATGACTGAGTTGGTGAGGCCAGGATGGACATCTGAGACAGGTCACCAGTGTGACAAAGGACAAAGACTGCCTCCTGTATGCTTGAGAGATCAGCTTCCACCAGCCTCCTCATTCCCCAAGGGAAGGAACCTGAGCTCATCCCCAAAGCAGAGTGGGGCTGGGAACATTTTGTTCCGTCTCTGTTTCAGGACCCCAGCTGGCTCCTTGACTCCCCCACACCATGCTCTTAGCCTTACCTTCCTTCCACTCTGCCACCCTTGGGGCGTAATGTCTAGAGCCTGACTTGAACGTGCCCAGGGCTGGCAGACACCCCAGTTCCCTAGGCCACAGTTTTATAGAGATGCTGCCTTTTTTTGAGACAGGTTGGCTTTGAGCTTCTGATCCTTCTGTTTCTTCCAGCTCTCCTACAGGTACTTTGTATGGGAAATGGAAAGAGCTAACACTAGAAGGAGCAGGCTTTGGGGACCCTGGTTTTGTGATGAAGAGTGAGGTGGGTCTTTGAAATCCTGGGTTTTTGTTGTTGTTGTTTTTTTTCGAGACAGGGTTTCTCTGTAGCTTTGGAGCCTGTCCTGGAACTAGCTCTTGTAGACCAGGCTGGCCTCAAACTCACAGAGATCCACCTGCCTCTGCCTCCCAAGTGCTGGGATTAAAGGCATGTGCCACCACCGCCCAGCTATCCTAACTGTTTTAACTCACTCTTTTTCTTGTTTTGGAAGGTGGAGGGAACACTCCTGGGGATTGTCCCTAGGGCATCCTGCACCTGCTTGTGGGGCAAGCACTGGATTGCTGAGCTACTGTCCCAGCCCTTAACTCATTGAACAGCATACTGACCATCAGGGACTCTTCTTAATTTTCTGTCCACGCTTAACAGTTTCCCTGTGTCTTTTGTAGTTTGGTTTTATTGGTTGGTTGGTATGTGTGTGTGTGAAAGTGCACATGTATATATATGTATGTATATATGTATATATATATATGTGTGTGCATGTGGGAGCCCGGGTCAGTATCTGATGTCATCCTCAATAGCTGTTCATCTTAACTTTTGAAATGGGGTCTCACACAGAAGTTAAAGCCTGTTGGTTGAACTAGACTAGCTGACTCCTCCTCTAGGACTGGGGTAGGTGCGCACCGCCAACCTAATGCCCATCTGCATGCGAGCGAGCGGAAGTGTATATGCATGCATGTAGAAGTCAGAGGTCAGTGTCAGCTTCTTCTTAATCCCTCTCCATCTTCTTCTAAGTCAGGGTCTCTTAGTGAACCTGGAATTTACTGGTTTGGAGAGACTGGCTAGCCAGAGATCCCTTGACACCCTCCTGTCTGTATCTGTCTTTTTTATGTGATTCCAGAGGTCAAATTCAGGTCCTCATGTTTGCGTGACTGACAAGCACTTTACTTACTGAGCCGTCTCCTAGCCCCTGAGTTGTGGTGTTATTTTGTCTGTTTGTTTGTTTTTGAACAGGGTGGGAGGGATTGGAAAGTTTTTTTTGAGGTGAGGTCTTGGTCTCTTGTTCAGGCTCCTCTCAGACCCCTGCCTCACCCCATCCACCCACCCAAGCAGCTGGAGCTCAGGGGCTGTTTGGTTTGAGGGCCTCGGGCATGCTCATCTGCATTCCCACCGACTACTTCATTGTTTCTCTTCTTTCTTCAAGAGCTATATAAATTACTTTTGTGTTGTTTTGTTTGTTTTGTTTTTCGAGATAGGGTTTCTCTGTGTAACAGTCCTAACTGTTCTGGAACTAGCTCTTGCAGACCAGGCTGGCATCGAACTCATAGAGATCCACCTGCCTCTGCCTCCCAGTGCTGGGATTAAAGATGTGCACCACCTCCCAGCTATAAATTACCTTTTTTGTTTGCTTGCTTGTTTGTTTGTTTGCTTGTTTGTTTGCTTGCTATGCAGGGAATTGGACACCTCCTATATGTTAGGCAAGTGTTCTGTCACTTAGCCCTGTGCATTACTTTAAGAAGATTGTCTCTCTAGCCGGGCAGTGGTGGCACACGCCTTTAATCTCAGCACTCGGGAGGCAGAGGCAGGCGGATCTCTGGGAGGTTGAGGCCAGCCTGGTCTACTGGTCTACAAGAGCTAGTTCCAGGACAGACACCAAAAAAGATACAGAGAAACCCTGTCTCGAAAAACCAAAAAAAAAAAAAAAAAGATTGTCTCCATTACAAAGCCTTGTGACGTCATCCATCAGTAAATATTCATTTCTTGTGACACAGGACCACCTGTGGGTTTGCTGATCACGTGCTTCTGGTGTCACCTGGGCTTGCTGTGGGAATGGTCATCTTGGCTGTGGCTTAGCTGGCCTCTGATGGCTGCAGTCACATATTGAGAGGTCAGCTGTCTTACCAGCAGGGCTGGGGGGGGCGGGCACGGCTGTCATCCCATAGCAGCCTAGCGTGGGCTAGTTTCCATGGTAGGGGCAGCTGAGGAAGACAGGGACATCTCTGCTACAGTTTAGGTGTTGTCTGACTGTTTCCTCAGAAGCCCGTGTGTGGAAATGTGGAAAGCTTAGTGTCCAGTGTGGCCGTGCTGAGGCGGTGCCGTGGTGTCCGGTGTGGCCGTGCTGAGGCGGTGCCGTGGTGTCCGGTATGGCCGTGCTGAGGTGGTGCCGTGGTGTCCGGTATGGCCGTGCTGAGGCGGTGCCATGGTGTCTATCCGGTGTGGCCGTGCTGAGGCGGTGCCTGGTGTCCGGTGTGGCCGTGCTGAGGCGGTGCCGTGGTGTCCGGTGTGGCCGTGCTGAGGTGGTGCCGTGGTGTCCGGTGTGGCCGTGCTGAGGCGGTGCCGTGGTGTCCAGTGTGGCCGTGCTGAGGTGGTGCCGTGGTGTCCGGTGTGGCCGTGCTGAGGCGGTGCCTGGTGTCCGGTGTGGCCGTGCTGAGGCGGTGCCGTGGTGTCCGGTATGGCCGTGCTGAGGTGGTGCCGTGGTGTCTATCCGGTGTGGCCGTGCTGAGGCGGTGCCTTCAGGACAGGTGCCTGGTGGAAAACAAGGAGGTCGAGAGGCTGACTTGGTTCTCAGGAGAGTAGGGTTTTGTTCTTTTGTTTCTTTGTCTTTTTTGAGGCAGGGTCTCTTTGTGTAGCTGTGACTGTCCTAGAACTCACTCTATAGGCCAGGCTGGCCTCAACCTCAGAGATCCACCTGCCTCTGCCTCCTGAATGCTGGGATTAAAGGTGTGCACCTTTGTTGAATTTGGCTTGATTCAGGAAATAACCAGACCAGCTTAAAATTATATTTTTAATTGTTATAAGGGGAAACTCACACCACAAGAATGGGAAGTCAGAGTTCCTCTGTTTTCTGGCAGGAGTCACCCAAAGAGAGCACCTGGTCCGTCCCAGTTTTCTTCCTGGGCTCCAGGTAGCCACGCCTTAAGAGGCTCCACTTCTTAAAGGTGATTGGTTAACAGAGTTTCCCCATCACACTTTGTTTCACAGCATAGGCTTGGCCCTGTCTACACAGGGCTTGTCCACTTTCTCTTTCTCCACCATGTGATAGCAACCAGTACGCTGGTGCTATGTTCTTAGGCCTATGGAATCTCTTTAAAATGTACCTAACCACCGGGCGATGGTGGCGCACACCTTTAATCCCAGCACTCGGGAGGCAGAGGCAGGGGGATCTCTGTGAGTTCGAGACCAGCCTGGTCTACAGAGCTAGTTCCAGGACAGGCTCCAAAGCCACAGAGAAACCCTGTCTCGAAAAAACCAAAAAAATAAATAAATAAATAAATAAAAATAAAATGTACCTAACCCTTAGTTATGACGCCATATTTGTGATCCCAGCACTTGGAACATGAAAGCAAGAGGATCAGGAGTTCAAAGTTATCCTCCACTACATAGCCAGTTTTAAGCCAGCCTGGGCTATGAGACTTTGTCTCTGTCTCCTCCTGTGTCCTTCTCCCACATTCTGAAATTAGGGACATGCATGTTATTATGTGTTACTCTGTGATATAATGGCCTCAGTGCTAGGCTCAGTTAACATGCCCTCTTCTGCTGTATTCTTTTGGGCAAAGTGAATTATAAGGAATAGAGTTAATCCCATTCCACTTGGTAGGAACTGCACGCTTATATAGACAGAGGTCAGAAAGTAAAGCCAGTTCTGCAGTTCATCCCCATCAGTGAAGTTGACTATTTGCCCTGTTTGCAGGGAGAACATGGCGGATGTCAAGAGATCTATAAACGAGCTTGTTTCCTTTCTCCTTTGTAGACGACAGCAATGGTGTCAGAGGTCTCCATTTAGATCGGCAGCTACAACTTGTCGCCATGGACACGTCTGAGAAGACCGATGTGGTTCTTCTGGCCTGTGGCTCTTTCAATCCCATCACCAACATGCACCTCAGGCTGTTTGAGCTGGGCAAGGACTACATGAATGCAACAGGTAGCTTATGACTAGAGACGGGGCTGGAGCGATGGCTCAGAGGTCTTCCAGAGGTCCTGAGTTCAGTTCCCTGCAACCACATGGTGGCTCACAACCATCTGTAGTGAGATCTGAGGCCCTCTTCTGGCCTGCAGACATACATGCAGGTAGAACACTGGATACATAATAAATAAATAAGTCTTTAAAATAAAATAAAATGTGAAAAAAATGAATTTAAAAATAAAAAAGACTATAGATGAAGTAGGGTGGGCTCACGCCTTTAACCCCAGAACTCGGGAGGCAGAGGCAGGTAGATCTCTGTGAGTTTGCAGCCAATCTACAGACTGAGTTTCAGCCAAGGCTACACAGAGAAACTGTCTCTTAAAAAAAAAAAAAAAAAAAAAAAAAAAGACTAGCAACGCATTTAACTATTCAGTGTGATACCTGACCCTGGACACAGTGTGTTCCTATGTTTCCTGGCGTAGAGAATTAGCCAAAAAAGTCAATGGGACTGTTATGCACAAGTTTCTGCTTCCCAAATGCATATACAGAGCCAGATTTCCGATGCAAATTACATGAGGGTTTTTAATATTATTTCAACTCAAGTTTGGACTCCACTTCCACCACATCAACACAGTGGGTGAGGGAAGTGTAGCCCCGAACCCGGGGAAGGAAAAATACCACAGTCCAGGGAGTTCAGTTCTATCGTCTTGGGATTGGGTGAGGAATACATAGGGTAAGGGTAAGAACCCATTGGTCAGTTTTGGGGCATGAAAACCTAACAAAGAGCCATAAATTACTGACAAGGTATGTTCAAGGATAGGATGCCTCCCAAGAACATCTGGATCTCGTTAAATTTTATGGCCCTGCTCCCTATCTTCTTAATTGGCCATTTTTAGGGCATCTGTTCAGATTTCTGCTATTACAGCACATTTCTGGAACTGAGATCTGCTCTCCTCCCCCCAGCTCATTATATGGCTTAAGATGAAGCCCCTTCTTTAAAATGGAGTTTGCAAGGTCAGGTCCTCACAGGGCCAGCAGAGGTAGCTCAGCAGGAAAAGTACATGTTGTAAAGTATGTATGTGAATAAGGCCAGGCCGAGCATGGTGGAGCTCTCAGCACTTGCAAGTCTGAGGCAGGTGGATCTCTGTGAGTCAGACCAGCCTGGTCTATATGTATAGCAAGTTCCAGGGCAGCCATGACTGCACAGTGAGACCTTGAAGGGTGGTGGGGCATGACTAGCATAAGAAGGGGCAGGGCTGGGCAGACACTCTCCAGAAAGTTCTTGTTAGATGTGGTCAAGCACCTAAGTGAGGAGAGACAGATCCCTGCCTCTGGTCTAGGTGAACAGGCAAATTGAGTCAGGCTTTTTAACAAGGGAGTTCAATTCTGGTTGGAATTCTGACCAACAAGAACTCTAAATATAAGTCATGTCAGTGAACCCAGAATGCGTGTGTAAGGGGTGTAGGGCTTTAGTTGGAGAAGGTGGAGGTTGTGTACAGTGTGCATGTGTGTGCTCAACACTACAGAATTGCACACTTAAAATCCTGTAAATGATAACTTTTAAAAATGTGTTTCTTTGCATGTGCAGGTGTTGTGTGAGGCATGCTACACAGGTCAGTTGGAGACGTCAGTTCTCGCCTCTCACCATGAGTGTCCTGGGGATTGAACTCAGACCATCAGTCCTGACGGCATACCCCTTGACCCATTGAGCCATCTTGCCAGAGTCTTACCACAGTTTCAGTTAGCTACTAATTTGACTCTTTGTTTAAAAAAGGGGGGATTATAACTATAAAATAACATCAATCATACTTCCTGTCCACTAAATCTGATTTGTTATCCCTAATATCAAGCCAACTCTTTATCCAGGAAAATACAGAGTTATCAAAGGTATAATTTCACCTGTTGGCGATGCGTACAGGAAGAAAGGCCTCATCCCTGCCCACCACCGAGTTATCATGGCAGAACTTGCCACCAAGAATTCCCACTGGGTGGAAGTGGACACGTGGGAAAGTCTTCAGAAGGAGTGGGTGGAGACTGTGAAGGTGCTCAGGTAACCCCGCTACAGTCCACGTCATTGGTTCTGGGGAAGGGAGAGGGGACTGGACGCTCCTGTTGCCGTGTTTGCAGTTCTGCCTGCTTCTGGTTGTCAGGTCTGTGAGGTGTCACTAAGCGTCTTAGTGTTCTGTTGCTGTGAAGAGACACCCTGACCAAGGCTGTGCTTGTAAGAGGAAGCGTTTAATTGGGGGCTGGCTTACAGTTTCAGAGGTTTGGTCCATTATCGTCCTGGCAGGGAGCACAGCAGCACATGTTGTGCCTGCCTAAGTGTAGCTGAGAGCTACATTCTAATCAGCAGGCCAAGAGAGAGTCAGGCCTTGGCATACAGGCTTTTGAAACCTCAAAGCCCACCCACAGTGTAGGCAGAGGAGACTGCACGTTCTTTTTCTGGCCACCCAGCCCTGAATAATCACACAGATATATATTAATTACAACACCATTTGGCTAATAGCTTAGACATATTCCACGCTAACTCTTATATCTTAAATTAACCCATGTCTATTATTCTGTGTGTGGCATACCAGGTAAAGTTCCATGAGTCTGTCTCCTTCAGCAGCTACATGAAGTCTCTCTGACTGCGCCTACTCTCTCTAAATATATCTTTTCCCTCCTGGCTATATTCTGCCCTGCCATAGGCTGAAACAGCTTTATTCATTAATCAATAAAAGCAGCACATGAAACTAGGTGGTGGTGGCACATGCCTTTAATCCCAGCACTCAGGAGGCAGAGGCAGGCAGATCTCTGGGAGTTTGAGGCCAGTGTGGTCTACAGAGCTAGTTCCAGGACAGGCTCCAAAGCTTCAGAGAAACCCTGTCTCGAAGAAGAAAAAAAAAAAAAAAGCACATACACAGAAGGCCATCCCCCATCACCACAGTGACATACTTATACTTCCAACAAGACCCCACCTTCTAACCTTTCCAATCCTTTCAAATAGTGCCAGGCCCTAGTGACTAAGCATTTAGATGTACGAGCCTGTGGGGGCCATTCTTTTTCACCACACCAAGGCTGCAAGTTACCCCAGGCTGCAGAGCACAGCAGCAGAACATGGGCACACCTGCATGTCTTTCAGCATGGGTGAGATATTGACATGTTTGTTCCTCAGAGATATCTCTGTCAGAGAGTAAAGGAAGCCAGCCTGGCCTTCCTGCCTGAAGGGAGAAAGACAGAATTCCTCAGGGTATTGTAGTCATCTGTCTTCTTAGCTGTGGAAGAGGGAAGGAGATGGCTTAAAGGGGAGGTTGGAGCGTGGCCTACCTCTCCAAGACAGTAGTTATTTCAAAAGGCCAGGGTTCACAGCCCGAAGACATGAAGTCAAGACTCCCTCCCTGCAGCCGTCTCTGGGAGAGGGTTCACTCAGAAGCCATCTGAAACGTGACCTGACAGTTCTCCACTTAGGACACTGGCTCTTTGTGCTCGTCGTCACCATGTTCAATTAGACCAGATCAGGGAAACTTCCTGCCAGCCATCCCCAAACTTAGAAATGTATGAGCTTTGCTTTGTTCTCGGGATTTGCTCAGGGAAGTGTGCTGGATGTTCTGAAGACGCTCCTCTGCCCACATCCCTCTCACAGCAGCGCGCTCTCTCTCTCTCTTTCTCCCTCTCTCTGTTTTTGTGTTTGCTTGCTTTATGTTTGTTTTGGTTTTTTGAGACAGAGTTTCTCTGTGCAACAGCCTTAGCTGTCCTGGAATTATCTCTGTAGACCAGGCTGACCTCAAACTCACAGAAATCCGCCTGCCTCTGCCTCCTGAGTGCAGAGATTAAAGGTGTATGCCACCATGGCCTGGCTTATCATTTTTAATAAGGAGGAGTGTCGGGCATTGCTTGCCCAGGATCCAGCCCAACCTTGTGTGGTGCTTCCTGGAGCACACAGGAGGCTCTCCAGACCTCCGTGCTCAGACCTTTGAAACCAGCCCAGTGAAGGAAGTGATGTCTCTAATAGTCTTGAGAGAGAGTTAAGGGGATTTCTGGAAAACTTTTGTCTAATGCCTGTTCTTAGGATTCTCACTCCTTCAGACTGGCTGAATAAGGTCAGAGAAGGCCACAGAAACCCTTCTGGGCACTTTGGATGCAGTGTCCTTGCTCATTGAGATCCACATGTTAGAGACTGGGGGCTGCAGAGCAGGACCTCTGTGGGTCCTGGAAGATGCCGCGGTGTGACAGTGGCATCGGTCTCATCCACAGAAGCTCAGCCACACTGGAAGTTTCCATGAGGAGCATGGGCTGGTGTTAGGGTGGGGCATTGAGCCAGAAGGTAAAAGCTACCTGGATGTGTTGGGGCTTCCTTTTCAGCATTGACAGGAAAGCGGTGTTGTAAATAGGGGCGGCGGGGCTGCATTCCCAGCACCCCAGCCGCCTGCTTGGCTTATGCCTGAAATAACAACACAGAAACTGTATTCATTTAAACACTGCTTGGCCCTTTAGCTCTAGCCCTTACTGGCTAATTCTGATATCCCAATCAACCCATCTCTAATATAATCTGTGAGCACCGGTCTTACTGGGAAGATTCTAGCCTATGTCCATCCTGGGTAGGAGCTTCATGGCATGCGTCTGCCTGGGAGAGCGGAGCATGGCATCTCTCTGAGGCGTCTGCTCCCGAGAGGAGACCTGTGGAGTCTGAGCTCACTTCCTCTTCCTCCCAGCGTTCTGTTCTGTTTACTCCTCCCACCTATCTCTAACCAATGAGAGCCAAGCAGTTTCTTTTTATTTAACCAATGACCTTCCTCCATCAAAGCGGTCTCCCTGCTAATGGTAAAACCTCTCCTTGGGGACCGTGCTCTTGTTTCAGCCCCACTCATCCCTCTCTGGCCCCGTGGTAACTGGTGTCTCTTACATGTTCAGTGTGACTGTTAGTCTGGGGCGGGGTTAAGGGCGTGGAGGGTTGCCCACTGTTGGTTCTAGAGGTGTGGGCCATACTGTGGGGATAGCTTTGCCCCTGCTGCCAGCCCTGGCTCCTGCAGTGCTGCTTCCTTTGCCGGCCTCAGGCACTTGCCCCTCCCAGTCCCTGTGCTTGCCCTGTTCTTCTTCACTACAAGATCGGGCCGTGGTCTTTAGTGGGCAAAGGTGCAGGCTCTAGTCCAGAGCGCTACACTCAAATCCCAGTTCTGCTGAGCAAAAGCTAAAAGACTGGGCAGTGTAACTAGCTCCTCTCTCAGTGGGGCTGATGGTAGCGCCTGTTCTCGGTCAGTGTCAGGAACTCTGCTCCAAGCGGACTGCAGCTCTTTTTTTTTTTTAATGATTTATTTTTATTTTACATGCATTGGTGTTTTACCTGCCTTGATGTCTGTGTGAGGGTGTCAAATACCCTGAAATTGAAACTATAGACAGTTGTGAGCCGCCATATGGATGCTGGGATTTGAACCCATGTCCTCTGGAAGAATAGCTAGTGCTCTTAACCACTGAGCCATCTCTGGGCTGGAGAGATGGACCTGCAACTCTTTTTGTTGTTATTGTTGTTGTTGCTGTTGCTATTGTTGCTGCTGTTTTGGGGGTTTTGGTTTTTTGAGACAGGGTTTCTCTGTGTAGCTTTGGAGCCTGTCCTGGAACTTGCTCTGTAGACCAGGCTGGCCTCGAACTCACAAAAATCCGCCTGTTTCTGTCTCCTGAGTGCTGGGATTAAAGGTGTGTGCCACCACTTCCCGGCAGACCTGCATCTCTTCAGTCTTCATCTTCCTCTCCATCACTACATGAGGAGTTGAGGAGATGGGGTCAGACGGTTGTGAAGAGGAATAACCACTAACTCTCCTGTCGCAGCACTCACACAAGAGTGCTTCAGAGAACACGCTGACTTCAAGGAATGTTTTTTTTTTATTTTTTCTTTATTTAATGTACATTGGTGTTTTGTGTACGTGTATGTTTGTATAAGGGTGTACGATCCCTTGGAACTGGACAGTTGTGAGCCACTATGTGGGTGCTGGGAATTGAACCTGGGTCCTCTGGAAGAGCAGCCAGTCCTCTTAACCACTGAGCCATCTCTCCAGCCCCCAAAGAACATTCTTTTGTTTTGTCATCTTGTAGACACCATCAGGAGAAACTGGCAACTGGCAGCTGTGGTCACCCACAAAGTTCACCTTCGCTGGACAGGCCTGGGCGGAAGAGGAAGTGGGATGAACAAAAACAGGATTCTAGTCCAAAGAAGCCCCAAGAGTCCAAACCAACAGGTTCGTGGGGTCTTATCAGGATCCAGCCATTGCTCAGACTCCACAGTAGAGTAGATAAAACTCCCTGGGTAGTTTTATTTTACTCCATAGCTGCTGGATTCTGATGGTCGGGAAGGATGGAGTAGAAGGCAGCAGATCTGCTTCTCACACGCACAGGCACGAGCACTTCAGTATGGGTGTTTATTAAGAAAACAAACCTGTCAGGTGGTGGCACTGCCTTTAACCCCAGCACTCAGGAGCAGAGGCACATAGATCTCTGGGTTGGAGGCCAGTCTGGTCTACAGAGTGAGTTCCAGGACAGCCAGGACTGTTACACAGAGAAACTCTGTCTTGGGGGAAAATAGAGAGAGAGACAAGAAACCCTGAACCTCTGGTTTTCTCTTCAAGGTGTACCCAGGGTGAAATTGCTGTGTGGGGCAGATTTACTGGAATCCTTTAGTGTGCCCAACTTGTGGAAGATCGAGGACATCACGCAAATTGTAGCCAACTATGGGCTCATATGTATCACGCGGGCTGGCAGTGATGCTCAGAAATTCATCTATGAGTCCGATGTGCTGTGGAGATACCAGAGCAACATCCACCTGGTGGATGAATGGATCACCAATGACATCTCATCCACTAAGATCCGGAGAGCTCTCAGAAGGGGCCAGAGCATCCGCTACTTGGTGCCGGACCTTGTCCAAGAGTACATAGAAAAGCATGATCTGTACAGCTCCGAGAGTGAGGACAGGAATGCCGGGGTCATTCTGGCTCCTCTGCAGAGGAACATTGCCGAGGCTAAGCACAACAGTTCCACAGCATGAAGCTCTGCTTGACGTCACATGCTCTTGTGGAGATTCAAAACAACCCAGTATTAGTAACTCAGGGAAGGAATTGCCATCCTGTTTCATAAACAGAAGTTTAAAGGTTTGATTAAAAACTAACAGGAAATTCAGATCAGTTGCTGAGATCAGTGTTTTAGATAAGGTCTCTAGAAAAAGAATAATTCCTCTTTAAAATAACAGCTGATTCACTGAAATGAAATCTCAGTCATGTTTACTCTAAGTTTACTAAGAACAGACCCCACGGCTCTACCACACAAGAGAAGCAGATGTGAAAGCAAATCCATTCACAAGCCTCCCTGTAGGGTCTGGAGAGATGGCCCAGAGGTGAAGAGCATGCCATGCTCTTCCAGGGGACCCACACGGCAGCTCCCAACTGGCTGTAACTCCAGATTCGAGAGATCTGATGTCCTCTCTGGCCTCCGTGGGCTCCAGGCACACGCGTGCTGCACAGACATACATGCACGACAACACCCACACAGAAGAAGGAAGAAAAGCTTCACTTCAGCCAGGTCAGTGATGCACACCTGAGACCCCGGCTGTTCTAGGGGCTGACATATGAGATCACTTTGAACCCAGGAGTTTGAGATGACTCTAGACAACACAGACCCTTCCTAAGAAACAAAACAGGGCTGGAGAGATGGCTCAGTGGTTAAGAGCATTGCCTGCTCTTCCAAAGGTCCTGAGTTCAATTCCCAGCAACCACATGGTGGCTCACAACCATCTGTAAAGAGGTCTGGCGCCCTCTTCTGGCCTTCAGAATATTGTATACATAATAAATAAATAAATATTAAAAAAAAAAAACCTAAGAAACAAAACAAAATCCTAGCTTTAACTATGAAGAGACCTGACATGCGGTTTGTGCTTGGTGCCAGCCATCTTTATCCAGGATAGACAGAGGAAGGGATTCTTTTTTTTTTTTTTTTTTTTTTTTTTAAATATTTATTTATTATGTATACAATATTCTGTCTGTGTGTATGTCTGCAGGCCAGAAGAGGGCACCAGACCTCATTACAGATGGTTGTGAGCCACCATGTGGTTGCTGGGAATTGAACTCAGGACCTCTGGAAGAGCAGGCAACGCTCTTAACCTCTGAGCCATCTCTCCAGCCCGAAGGGATTCTTTAAAACATACCTTGGCTGGGGCTGTAGCTCAGTTGGTAGAGCACTTGCACAGCAGGCCTGAGGCCCTGGGTTAAATTACCACATAGCTAGGCATGGCAGTGCACACCTGTGATTCAGGTGCTTGAGGACAAGCAGAAGGAGCAAATGTTCAGCATCATCCTGGACAGCCTGCAAGTTTGAGACCATCAAGGGATGCTGGAGACCCTGTCTCTATATAAATAAAATAAGTGATTCTGTAAAATGACCTGTGACCAGTGGTCCTCTAGCTCTGCAAAATGAAGGTTGTGAGTACACCCTGAAGAAGTCAGACTATACCACAGTTTTCCTTGCTCCACGGGCGAGATGGTGCAGTGGACAAAGGTACCTGCTGCCAAGTCTTTCAACCTGAGTTCAAGCCCCAGGACCCACACAGTAGCAATAGAGACCCATTCCTAAACAGTAGCTGACCTGCACGAGAGAAATAAAACCAAGCTGGTGAAGCTTTGCCTGTGTGTAGCTGCTTGGAGGCGGGGGTGGGGACAGGCTCTGCTTCAAATGTCGTCTTAGCAAACCTTCGTTGCTGACTCTTCACCGTTCTTTTTAACTCTGGGGACAGCTTCAAAGACAATGTCTCAGTGCCTTTAAGAAAATTTCAAAGAAAAAATAAAAAAATAAATAAAAAAAAAGAAAATCTCAAAGAGCTGGGCAGTGGTGATGCACGCCTTTAATCCCAGCACTTGGGAGGCTCCGTAGAGAAATCCTGTCCCAAAAAACAACAAATAAATGAAGGTGAAGAGCATTCATATTTTAACCAGCCGTTCTCTGTGGGTTTCTTTCTTTTTCTCCCCCAAGACAAGATTTCTCTGTGTAGCCCTGACTGTCCCGGAACTCTGTAGACCAGGCTGGCCTTGAACTCTCAGAGACCCGCCTGCCTCTACCTCCCAAGTGCTGGGATTAAAAGCATCACCACCACTGTCCTCTTCACCTTTATTTATAATTTTATAAAATGTATTTATATTTAATAGACATTGTTGTTTTGCCCACGTCTGTGTCAGTGTGAAGGTGTTGGGTCCCCTGGCACTAGAATTACAGACAGTTGTGAGCTGCTGTGTGGTTGCTGGGAATTGAACCTGGGTCCTCTGGAAGAGCAGCAGTGCTCTTAACCACTGAACCCTCTCTCCAGCCCCTATCTATAATTTTATAATTAAAAGATGAGTGAAGCTCCTAAGAACATGAGGAGTGGACTGGGTCAGCCCCAGCAGCCCTCCCTGCCTCGACCTTGGAGCCAGTGACTGCTGCTCCACCTGAAGCTGTCAGTTTCTGAAGAGCCCTGTGGTCTCTGTGCCAGCCGTGTGAATCTGCATATCCTGCACCTGCTGAGGAAGGGTCCATTGCCTCATCATTTTTCTGGAGCTGTTTCTCTGACCCAATAACTGAGATCATAGCTTTTTGTTAAAACACAAAGTTATTACATGATTTGTTACTGATTGAAATTTTACAGGAATTTGCCCCATTTTTTGTTTTTTTCAGTTAGGATTTTCTCCTGGAAAACATAGTCAGTGCCTGGTGTGGTCTTCAGGGTCAGGTTGGCCCTGAGTCATGGGCTCAACTGGGTGGGGATGATGGGCACCAAGGACTGTGGGCCATTGTCTTCTCAGGTCCTCCTTCCCTAGGATCCAGCCCTGCAGTTGGCAGGGTTCTGTGTGTACTGTGCATGGTAGCCCCCAGAAATCTGCCCCACGGGCTTCTGACATTGTTAGGGGGTTCTAGAATGAGCCCTGGAGATCTTTCCCCGCAGTCAAATCAATGTGAGAATTTAATGGAGAAGCAGCCAGTGTGGCAAACACCACATGGTAGAAAAGTCTCATCTTGGCTCCTACTGGTCCTCACTGACTTCACCCAGGGTGTCTCTGAGTCGGTGTCTCTGGGAACCTCACTAGGTGTCAGGCACACATGTGATGGTCCTGTTTTTAGCAGCCACCAGAGGAGGGGGTGGTACTGGGTCAGTGTGGACTTTTATGAAAGTGGTCTTGCAATTGGTACAGGGGTAAAGTTAAACTTCTCAACTGGACATGGTGGGACACACTCATAATCCCAGCACTCACTTGATGGAGACTGGATAATCAGGAGTTCAAGTTCACCTGAGCTAGGCAGTGGTGGTGGTGCACACCTTTAATCCCAGCACTTGGGAGGCAGAGCCAGGTGGATCTCTGTAAGTTTGAGGCCAGCCTGGTCTACAAGAGCTAGTTGTAGGACAGGCCCCAAAGCTACAGGAAAAAAAAAAAAAGATAATTTCCCCTTTTAAATTTTTTTTTATTTTTTTATTTATTTTTTTTGGTTTTTTGAGACAGGGTTTCTCTGTAGCTTTAGTGCCTGTCCCGGAACTAGCTCTTGTAGACCAGGCTGGCCTCGAACTCCCAGAGATCCATCTACCTCTCCCTCCCGAGTGCTGGGATTAAAGGCGTGCACCACCACCGCCTGGCCCCTTTTAAATTTTTGAGATGGGAAATCTCCATAAGCAGTCCAGGCTGGCCCAGGGCTCACAGAGATCTGCCTGCCTGTCTCCCAAGTAGCCTAAATTTCCCTCAAAATTCGTGTTTGATGCTCACCTCTCTTGAAGAAGATTTTGTACTTCCACAGAAGGAAAAAGTAATTGTGCAGTTGTCAGATCCAAATCTGATGTCAGGAAGGGAGAAATGTTTACTCATCTTACTAAAGCCATCCAATAGCTGTCAGAGATGAAAAGTCTGGCACCCACAGCATTAGTACCTGCTGGCTGACTGTGTGGATGGCCAGATCTCAATCGGTAGAGACAAGATAAGGATCCTAAAGAGTTGAGACAGCACTGAGCAGTAACAGTAGTCAGCAGAGCCATCAGACTTGACTCTGGCAGAGCACACACAGTTCATCTCGTGTGCCGTGAGCTGTACGGGTTACTGCTGTAACCTTACCTTAGACCTTAGTGTCTCCCGTTTGGAAGTGTTGAAACCCTACTACCTTATGATCACCTCGGACCCCATGGGCAAGGCTTGCGGGGACCCTCCCAGGGATCCCCGAATTACACTGTGAGTGAACTTCCGGCACAGAACCTGATACTTGGCTTTTGGGAATAGCTCTGCTAAAGGCAGACATGTCCTCAAGACCAGAACTTCCTCTCCGGATGATGGGAATTACAATTTTTTTTAATTTATATTTTATGTGTGTGGGTGTTTTGCCTGCATGTGTATCTGTGCACCAGTTGTGCCTGAGAAGAACAAGAAGGTATTGGATCTCCCAGAGTTACAGGTGATTGTGCACTGCCATGTGGGTGCTGGGAATTGAACCTGGGTCCCCTGGAAGAGCGGTCATTGCTCTTAACCACGGAGCCATCTCTCCAGCTCTGGAATTTACAGTTGCTGTGCCTTCCTTTAAGGGAAAAGGGAGACCGGGTGGCGGCGCACACCTTTCATCCCAGCGCTTGGGAGGCAGAGGCAGGCGGATCTCTGTGAATTTGGGTGCAGCCTGGTCTACAGAACAAATTCCAGGACAGCCAGGACTGTCCCACAGAGAAAACCCTGTCTCAAAAACCAAAAACAAACAAATCTGAGAATGGAGAAGTGACTCGGTGGTTAGAGCACTTGCTGAGGACCTGAGTTCAGTTTCTAGCAGCACAGTGCCTGTAACTGCAGTTCCAGGAGATCTGACAAAGTCATCTAGATGCTGTCTGAGTGTGCATGTGCTCACACAAGCTCACACGCACACATACCCTTCCAACATCTTATAGTGCAATTAAAAAGATCTAGAGTCCCTGTAGAATATCGTACCTGTAGTCAACAGTAATACATTGAACACAACGTTTACAAGAAGGTAGCCAGATGTGGTGGCACATGCTTAGAAGTCCAGTACTCAGGAGGATTAGTGGTTTAAGGCCAGCCCGGGCTCTTTGACACCTTGTCTCCAATATAAGATGATTCGCTGGAGGATAGATTTCATTGAATCTGGTCTGGCCACCATAGAATGCTCCAAAATAAAAAGTGCACAAGAGAAGCCATCTATTTCTGGCCCTGTGCTGTGAGGAAGAGCCGGCTTCATGGGAACGCAGCAGATAGAAATGATCCACATGATGACTTTCCTTAGTGGTGTGGCCAAGCAAGGCTGAGGGGCTCAGTGCCCCTTGTTTTGGTCCCTAGCTGTCCATGTAGGTTTTTTAGGGTCCAAACTTTGCCACAACCAACAAACTTTACAGGGGTACCGCTCAAAGTGGCAGAGTCCCCAAAACAGAATTCATGTGTTTCCAGCCACAATACTGCTGTTGAGAGAACAGTATTTATTAAGTAGCATTTTGTTCAACACAGACACTCAAAAACGGTGGATCCACGCACTGGCATTGAATCAGAATGTCCCCCTGGTCACATAGGTGACCAAAGGCAAGAGAGTTGCTGGGGGAGAAAATACCTCGACATTATGTTCTGTCAGATTTGTCCACTGTAGGAAGCTCAACCCCCAAGTGGCCTAAACAATAAAGACCTTTGTGTTCAGAAGCGCAGATGTAGGACAGGATGCAGGGCTCGTGCGAGTGACTCACCAGAGTCATTGCAGTCCCTGCCAATCACAGTGTCCTAGTTCTGCTCCCCTGGAGCTGGAAGGTGCGGTGCTCCTGGCCCAGAAAACAAGCCAGCTGCCTGCCCGAGCTCAGATGTGGGGAAAAGTCGTTCAAATCAGACATCTTTCCCAGCAGCCGTCACAAGTCACTGCGTACTTCAAATTTGTTGGAAGTTTCATATCCTTAAAGCCAGTCCTTGGCAAAGGAGAGAAGCTTGCGGTGATTGGGTCAACCTTAAACTAATTTGGGTCTATCCCCAGAATGGAAGCCACTCCCTCGGTGGTATTATTTCCTGACAGTAGGGAGGAGAATATATAATTCCATCAAATAACAGTCCCCACTCCAAGTGTCCTCATCCATTCCCGTCCAGTTTCCATCGACGCGCAGGTCCAGAGCCTCATCTTGTCCACAGTTTAGAGTTGAGCCCCCCCTAGCCTTAAGCCCGGGGTACGGAGGCAAATACCTTCCTTCTTTGATTTTCTTCCCTTTCCAGCAATACTTTCTGGTCCTTCCTAGAGTGAATCTCCTGGAACTGAACAGGAGAAACGTGATTCTGGAACCTATGAACAGTCAAATCTCTGTCCCCTTCAGCGCAGCTCCATCCTGGGTAGAACAGGTGACCTTTGCTCAAACTGGCCCAAAGCCATAGCAACTAGCACAGAGGCTAAGAGTATTATTAGATACAACCTTAGGTCAGGCTCTGGAACAATAAAATGGTTAAGGATAGGAAGTAGGTGCTGTTCTGTTCATGTCCTGTTTCACACTCCAAAAGTCTGGGCAGAGTTCATGGTTTTGTATCCCTCAAGGTATGCCTAAGCCAACTGATGGAAGAGCGTCAACAGCCCTTTCTGGGAAAGTTGCTCCCACCCTGGAAAAGGTCACATTCATTCATGCATGCATTCATTCATTCAAGTGTTTATCGAGCAGAAGCACAAGGCCTGGGGACACTAGTTGTGAATAACGTGAACACAGTCTCTGCTTGCAAGGAAAAAGGCAGCCAGCCAACAAGGGAAACAGAGGCAAGTACTAGTCACCTTTTCATTTCTGTGGCCAAACGCCTGTGAGGAACAATTTAAAGAAGTGGGGGTTTCTTTTTGGCTGATAGTATTTGGGGTTTCAAATCAAAATGGGGAGGGCAAGGCAGAGCATGTGTCCAAATCTTGATTGCCAGGAAGCAAAGAGAGACTTCCTGTCCCGGTAGCTCCCCTCTGACTTCTTTTCATCCTGTAGCCTCCTATAACCTATGGGATCATGTCACCCACATCCAGGGCAGCTCTCTGGGAACCCTCACCCATGCAGTGTGCTTTACTGATCTCCTAGGCACACTTCTCAGCCCAACCACGTTGATTCTCAAGATTACCCATCAAATCTTGGAGTGGGAGACATATGAACACCTCAAGCAGGGCTGTGATGCAGGTGAAATGGATATTAAGAAGTATCTCTGTGGCCAGGTATGGTGGCACATGCCTTTACTTGCAGTACTTACGAGGCAAAGGCAGGCAGACCTCTGTGAATTAAAGGCCAGGCTGCTCTGCATAGTGAATGCAAGACTGCATAGTGAGACCCTGTCTCAAAAGAAAATCCTACAGATAGATGGATGGATGGATGGATGGATGGATGGAGATAAAGCCTATCCACGGGGCTGGAGATGACTCAGAGGTTAAGATTAAGGCTGCTCTTCTAGAGGACCTGAGTTTGGTTTCCAGAATCTACATGGTGACTCACAATCACCTGTAATTCCACTTCCAGGGTCTGACACCCTCTTCTAGCCTCTGAAGACACTGTACACACATGGTGTGCAGATATACCGTTAACCCACAAATATCCACATTAAATTATATACATGTTTTTCTGTGTGACAGCCCTGGATGTCCTGGAACTCACTCTGTGGACCAGGCTGGCCTTGAACTCACAAACCCCTCCAGTATCTGCCTCCATTAGGCATCTGCCTACACACCCAGCTAAATAATAGTTTTCAAAGACTTACAAATGTATTTGAATGTTCCACTGAGAAAGTGACTGTCAGAGGTTTTAAAGAAAGCCAAGTACTTTTCCATTAAAGTTCTTTAAAACATAAAAGCCATAAATGGAGAAACCAAAATAGCACCATTGGGAATGACAGAGACTCCATTCAAAGATAAAACCTCGGGGGTCCCAAGATGGCTCAGAGAGTGCTTGTGGCCAATCTGGTGACCTGACTTTGGTCCCTGGGACCCACACAGCAGAAGCAGAGACCTAAGTCCCACAAGTTGTCCTCTGATCTTCAAGCATATGTCATGGAGTGTGTGTGTGTGTGTGTGTGTGTGTACAGTTTGCTCGTGGAGGCCAGAAAACAACCCTGAATGTCAGTCCTCAGGCGCTTTCCACCTTTTGTTTGAGACATGATTGTCATTGGCCTGGAACCTCACCACATAGAACAGGCTTCTGCTCACACACCAAGCCCTTTACCTATGGTCTGGAATCCACTTCTTTTTTAAAAAATTTTTAAAGGTTTATTTTATATGTATGAGTGTTTTGCTTGCTTATATGTATGTGTCCCACATGAATTCCTGGCACCCCAGAATCTAGAAGGCACAGCCTCTGATCCCCTGGAACAGGTGTTATGAATGATCTGGAGGTGCAGTTGGCTGTGAGCCACGAGGGTGCTGGGGACTTGACTCTGAAAAGCAGTAAGTGCTTTTAACCTCTCTAAACCCTCCCCCACTTTATATTTCGTCTTTGTAAATCAGGATCTCATACAACCCAGGCTGGCTTCAAACTTATTATGTAGCTGAGCATGGCCTTAGATTTGTTTCTCCTGCCCCTACCTCCAAAGTTCTGGGATTACAGGAATGAGCATGGCTCTAAGTCTTGGAGACAGTGTATATGGATGCTGACTATGGCTGATACTATTAGCTAGTCCATTCTTCTCCTCTCTCCTCCTCTGCCTCACTCTACTGTAGAGACTACATCCTGAAGACTACATTTCCCAGGCTCCATGCAGTTAGCAGTAGTAATTGACATGTTGTGTAGATGAGCAGTAACTGGAACTGTGCTAAAGAAGTTTCTGTTGAGGGAATAACAGTGTGTGACATTTCCTAGTCTTCTCCACCTGGCTGACATCTGAAATCCAAGTCATGACAGTGAAGTCAAAACCAGAAGTAAAAAGTCCCCAGGATTGCAGACGTCCATTCTGTGTCACCTAGGAATCTAGTGGTCACAGAAATACTGGGTAAGAAGCTGGGATGTGATTCAGTTGGCTTTTACCCATGAAGTTCTGTGTTAAAGCCCAAGCATATAAACCGGGTGTGTTGCACACCTGTAATCCAGCAGAGGCAGCTGAATCATGAACTCACAAGGCCATCTTTGGCCTACATAGTGAGTTAGGAGCCCACCTGAGCTACACGAATCCCTTGCTCAAAAACAAGGCAGGCACTAGATAGGCATCACACCCCTAAGAGCACTGGCTACTCTTTCAGAGGATCTGAATTTGGTCCCCAGCATCCATGGGGTGGGGTGGGGTGGGTGAGGCTGCAGACTGCCTCTAACTCCATCTCTTGGGGATCTACCCTCTCCTGGAACCAGCACACATGTGATATACACCCACGTAGACATATGCACATAAACAAAAATAATTTTTTTAAACTCGAGCAAGGTAAAAATTTCTATTTTCTGGGAGACCTGTGAGTGGCCTTGGGCTCATGCATGTACTGTTATTTGTGGTTACCACCGTACTTCGTGCTGAGTCTGAAGCCCTTCCTTTAGTCATTAACATCCAGGCCATGGAATAAAGGGTGACCTGGGACACTCGCTGGGGTCACAGGTGTTTAGAGTTGAATGACAGGAGGGAGTCCAAAGGAAACAGGGGTTGCCAAGGTAGTGTGTGACAGGAGCAGGGACAGAACCAGAAGCGGGTGGGGAAGGAAGCTAGGAGAGGCAGCCAGAGGCTGCTTCCAGGGCTTCCCAACCTCCACCCCAGCTTCACTGACCAGGCTTGTTGTTCCCTCTGCTCCACCCTGGCCCCCGTTCCCACCCCAATGACAATATAAGGGCAGCATTGTCCCCTGACTTTCAGGCTTTGGCTGCCAACCCCCCACCATGCCAGCGGACCTCAGCGGCACCTGGAACCTTCTCAGCAGTGACAACTTCGAGGGCTACATGCTGGCCCTGGGTAGGACCAGAGGGTTGTGCAGCAAAGGGGATAATGGAGGGGAGAAAGACTCTAGCTTTGGGTCTCGGGGTTGAGCGAAGGCCATCTGTCCTGTCTTGTCTGTTCCAGGTCCTCCTGTCTCCCGTGAGTTATGCTCTCGGTTGGGTTATGTTGCTTAGTCCTTGTCCCTGACTCCCCGCACCCATCTTCAGCCCTCTGTCTATCCTCTTTGCTCTGTCCCCCTTGTCTTGTCTGACAGCCAATCGTCCCTGCCCACCCGAGTCTGGTTCCTGCATGCCCCTCTGCGTCTGTCGAGTCCCAGATGTGCCTGTATTCCTGTCTATCCAATTCTGTGTGGGGACTGTCAGGACCGGCCAGGGCTCTGAACCAGACAGACAGCAGCTACAATCTCCTTGGGAATTCAGTTCCCCCGCCAGAACAGGGCCTGCTCTGGGTGAGGGAGACCACTGCAGACTCCTGCAGATGAGCAAGCCGGTAGAGTCAGCCTGGGCTGCCTATGCATGCAGTGGGAAAACTGAGTCCTGGACCCTGTTCTGTGGCCACCAGTGGGGTGCATGGGTCCACAAGAGGGGGTCTTGTCACTGTCCCTGCTTCCCAAAAGACTCTCGGTATATTGCTGCCCTGCAAACTGAGTCTGTTCAGCTTGCTCTGATTTTTATGGATTTGGCAGCCCCTGTTATTATAAGTGGAGTACCATCGTTGCCTTGGCAGGCTTGTTCTGGGAGTTATTTGTTTGGGGTTTTGTTTATCTATATTAAGACAAGGTCTCCCTTTTAGGTCGAGCTGGTCTGGACCTCACTATGTAGACAAGGCTGGTCCAGGAAATCCTCCTGTCTCAGTCTTCCAAGTATAGGGATTACAGGTCTAAGCTACCATACCTTGGTACACTTGCTACTTGACAAACTCTTCCTTTTGCCTTCCAGTAAATAGAACAGAATTCAACACCCCAGTAAAAGCAATTTTTTAAAAAGTCCTCTTGAGGGACTAGAGAGATGACTCAGTTAAGGGCCCTTACTAGCTTGCTTTTCCAAGAGACCCAGGTTTGGTTCCCAGTTGCCCTGTTACAGGGAATCCGACACCCTCATCTGGCCTCTGTGGGTACTCCGTGGTGTACAGACATGCAGGCGGGTGTCACACATACACATGAAATAAATAGATAACATTTACAAAAATGTTCTTAAGTCACTGAGTGAAGTGGCTCACACCTTTAATCCCAACACTTGAGAAGCAGAGGCAGCTGGAACTCTGTGAGTTTAAGTTCCAGGACTGCCAATGTTGTTACACAAAGAAACCCTGTCTCAAAAAAAATCCACAAGAAAAAAAAAAATCTCTTGAGTCAAGCATGATGGTACACACCTATAATCCAATACTTGGAGGTAGAGGTAAGAGAATCAGGAGTTCAATGTCACCTTCAACTTTGCACCAAGTTTGGGGGCTGGAGAGATTGCTCAGTGGTTAAGAGCACTGCCTGCTCTTCCAAAGGTCCTGAGTTCAATTCCCAGCAACCACATGGTGGCTCACAACCATCTGTAATGAGGTCTGGTGTCCTCTTCTGGCCTGCAGACATACACACAGACAGAATATTGTATACATAATAAATAAATATTTAAAAAAAAAAACTTTGCACCAAGTTCAAAGACAGCACGGTTATGTAAGATCCTGTTTTAAAACAAATTGTCCTCTGACTTACACATACATACATAAATAAATGTAAAATATTAAGATAAAAAATATAATAAGAACAATAACTTTCTAGGTATCGACTTTGCGACTCGTAAGATCGCCAAGTTATTGAAGCCACAGAAGGTGATTGAACAAAATGGGGATTCCTTTACCATCCACACATACAGCAGTCTAAGGAATTATCTTGTTAAGTTCAAAGTTGGAGAAGAATTTGAGGAAGATAACAAAGGCCTGGATAACAGAAGATGCACGGTAAGGCAGTAGGGGGTGACTAAGAGGTCGGGTTTTCACTTAGCATGCATGAAAGCCGGCTAAGATTTCAAGCACCCTATGGTGCTAGAAAAGAAAATAACATAGACGTGGGGCTGGAGAGACAGCTCAACAGTTAAAAGAACTTGTTGCTCTTGTAAAGAACCTGGGGTCCAATTCCCAGCACCCACATAGCTGCTTACATCCTCCTACAACTCCAATTCCAGGGATGCCCTCTTCTGACATCTGTGAGCACCAGGCATGCACACAATATATATGCATACATGTAGGCAACACAGACACACACACACACACACAAAATAAAAAATTTTGAAATGTAGCATAAGCTATCTATCAGTTTCACAAGGTTAGCTCGGCATGCATCCTACCTGATGATATTAGGGTTCCTGCCAGAACAAAGTGTTGTTTTCTCTCTTCCTTCATGCAGAGCTTGGTTACCTGGGAGAACGACAAACTCACTTGTGTGCAGAAAGGGGAGAAGAAGAACAGAGGTTGGAGCCACTGGATTGAAGGGGGCCAGCTCCACCTGGTACCTACCACATTTTGTTCTTTAAAATCCATTTTTGGCGGGGAGGGGAGAGTTTTAAATCTCTATTTCTTTTTTTATTTTTTTTTAATTTATTTATTGTTGATTATGTATACAATGTTCTGTACTGCATGTGTGCATGCCCACCAGAAGAGGGCACCAGATCTCATAGATGGTTGTGAGCCACCACGTGGTTTCTGGGAATTGAACTCAGGACCTCTGAAAGAGCAGCCAGTGCGCTTAACCTCTGAGCCACCTCTCCAGCCCAAATCTCTATTTCTCTATTTTCATTCGTGTGAATGTATACCTGCACCTGTGTGTGCACCACATGCATGCAGTGTGTGCAGAGACCAAAAGAGGGCACTGGATCCCCTTGGAACTGGAGGTACTGGTGGTTGCGAGCTGCCCAGTGTGGGTTCAGGGAGCTGCACCCTGGTCCTTTGAAAGAACTGTCAGCCTCTGTGCCATTTTGCCATCCCCTTGTTATGATTCTCTATTACATGTTTTTACTATTTTAAAAAAATTGTTGTCATAGCAGTATATTTTGATCACATTCTTTGTCCTTACCCAAATCTTCCCAGACTATCCTGTCTCCCTAACTACCTGATTCCATGTTCTTTCTCGGAAACCAAAATAAACCCAAAAGAGAAAGACAGGATGAAAGAAAGAAAGAAAGAAAGGAAGGAAGGAAGGAAGGAAGAAAGAAAGACCAAACCATAACAACAACAAAACTTAGAGTCTAGTTTGCATTGACCCACTTTCCCTGAGCATGAGGTCAGCCCTGGAGTGTGGCCAATAATACCCAGTACCATTGGAGAAAACTGGTTTCCCTCTCTCAAGAAGGTATCAATGCAAATAGGTTCGTGGCTAGGGGAGGGGCTTTGGCCATTTTTTTCTCCCTGGTTAGATTTTGGTTTTTTTTTTGTTTTTTTTTGTTTTTTGTTTTTTGAGACAGGGTTTCTCTGTGGCTTTGGAGCCTGTCCTGGAACTAGCTCTGAAGACCAGGCTGGTCTCGAACTCACAGAGATCTGCCTGCCTCTGCCTCCCGAGTGCTGGGATTAAAGGCGTGCGCCACCATCGCCCGGCTCCCTGGTTAGATTTTGTCCGGACCTATGTAGGTCCTTTGCATGCTGTCAGTCTCTGTGAGTTGTATCTGGGAGATGCTGTCTCCTTGGAGTCACCCACCACCTCCGGCTCTCACAGTCTTTCTGCCCTGTGGCATAGATCCCTGAGCCTCCAGGGAGGTCCTAAGGCGTCTCATTCAGTGCTGAGTGCGCTGAGGTCTCCCACTGCCTGTCTGTTGTCCCGTTGTGGGTCTCAGTCAGTTCATCACCATTTCCTGCTAGAGGAAGCCGCTCTGATGAGGGCTGAACAACACATTAGCCATGGACAGTCGCCCTACCCTTCTCGATCCTTGTTTTAACTTTTACTTTTGCAAGTTACCTTCATGTCCTGCTCAGGATGGTCTGCCTTTTTATTCAATATTGCAACATTTTTCTGGAGACTGGAGAGATAGCTTAGTGGTTAAGAGCACTGACTGCTCTTCCAGAGGTCCTGAGTTCAATTCCCGGCAGCCACATGTTAGCTCAAAACCATCTATAGTGGGATCTAATGCCATGTTCTGTTTGGTACCCTCTTCTGTCATGGGCATACATGCAAACTCTCATTTACATAAACAAATAATTTTTTTGTTTTGTTTTTCGAGACAGGGTTTCTCAGTGTAGCATTGGCTGTCCTGGAACTTGATCTGTCAACCAGGCTGGCCTCGAACTCACAGATATCTGCCTGCCTCTGCCTCTGCCTCCTGAGAGCTGAGATTAAAGGTGTGCCACCGTTGCCTGACTGAAGAACATTTTCTGTGACTGGAGCCATGGCTCTATGATTAAGAGCACTGGCTGCTCTTCCAGAAGACCTCCACTCAATTCCTAGCTGCCACACTGTGGGCCACCACTGTTTAGAACTTAAGTCCAAGGGGATCTAATGCCTCTTCTGTGGCCTCCTCTGGCTCTTTAGGCATGTGTGCACAGATGTAAATGCAGACAAAACACCCGTGCACATAAAAATAAGAACTTATGGGCTGGAGAGATGGCTCAGTGGTTAAGAGCATTGCCTGTTCTTCCAAAGGTCATGAGTTCAATTCCCAGCAACCACATGGTGGCTCACAACCATCTGTAATGAGATTTAGTGCCCTCTTCTGGCCTGCGGACACACACACACAGAATATTGTATGCATAATAAATAAATAAATATTTAAAAAAAATAAGAACTTATGCCAGATGGTGGTGGCATATACCTTTAATCCCAGCACTCAGGAGACAGGTGGATCTCTGTGAGTTCAAGGCCAGCCTGGTGTACAGAGTGAGTTCCAGGACAGCTAGGGCTGTTACACAGAGAGACCCTGTCTTGAAAAACCAAAACCAAAAGAACCTTTTCCTGGGACTGGAGATGGCATCAGCAAACGAGAAGGTGCTGCTCTTGCAGGAACCTGGACCTGACTCCCAGCACCGCTCCCTCTACCTCCAGCTCTAGGGGATCCAACCTCCCCTTCTGGTCTCTGATGGTAACAGCACTCGCGAGCAATACCCCCATACAGACACACACACATAACTGAAAAATAAAAGTAAATATTAAAAAAAGAATGTTGTATAGCTTTCTAGATAGTTTTTCTCTTGAATTCACTGTGTATTTATATTTTTTACTTTATTTCTTTGTTTTGTTTTGTTTTGTTTTGAGACAGGGTCTCTCTGTGTAGCTCTGGCTATCCTGGAATTCACTATGTAGACCAGGCTGGCCTCAAACTCAGATAGATCCACCTGTCTCTGTCTCCCAAGTGCTGGGATTAAAGGTATGTGCCACTATTACCTGTCTAAAATGCACATTCTTCTAAAATGTGTAATTTTGAAATAAAAAGAGATTGTTTGTTTGTTTTTCAAGACAGGGTTTCTCAGCCAGGCGGTGGTGGCACAAGCCTTTAATCCCAGCACTCAGGAGGCAGAGGCAGGTGGATCTCTGTGAGTTCAATGCCAACCTGGTCTACAAGAGCTAGTTCCGGGATAGGCCCAGGACAGGCTCCAAAGCTACAGGGAAACCCTGTCTCAAAAACAAAACAAAACAAAAAGACAGGCAGGGTTTCTTTGTTTAGCAGATCTGGCTGTCCTGGAACTCACTCTGTAGACCAGGCTGGTCACAAACTCAGCAATCCACCTGCCTCTGCCTTCCGACTGCCAGGCTTAAAGGTGTCTGGTGCCACTCTCAGCTGAATTCACCATGTATTTTTTTTTTTTTTTTTTTTTTTGGTTTTTTGAGACAGGGTTTCTCTGGCTTTGGAGCCTGTCCTGGAACTAGCTCTGTAGACCAGGCTGGTCTCGAACTCACAGAGATCCGCCTACCTCTGCCTCCCGAGTGCTGGGATTAAAGGCGTGCGCCATTATCGCCCGGCTCACCATGTATTTTAAAAATCATATATTAAGGCGGTGAGCTGGCTGTTTCGTGGTCCATTTGACTGAGGGAGTGACATTTTAATGAAACACATCCTTGATTGAATATTAAAGAATACCATTGCAGGTTCTGGTGGTGTAGCTCAGCTGGCGGAGTACACGCTCGGCACGTGGGAAATCCCAAATTGGAGCCCGCATCTGTAAGCGTGGCAATTGGGAGATGGCCGCAGGAGCTTCAGAAGTTCAAAGTCATCTTCAGCTACAGAACAAGTTGGAGATTAGCTTGAATGATATGAAATCCCCAAAATAATAGTGTCTCAGGGTGGTCTCTACGATGAATAAAGCTCAGGTCCCTGGTGCGTCTTGTTCCCTTGAGAGACCCGGGCACAGCTCACTAGGTTGCTTCTTTAAGGCCTCCTCACAGAGGAAGCATTGATTTGTTTCACAATCAGAACTTCCTGACTGCAGCGTATAACTCAAACTAATCAACAGCTCTAAAACACAATCTAGAAGGTATAAAATTCTGCTTTTAGAAAGAATAAAACTGGTGTCAGATATGGCACCAAGCGCCTTGAATACCAGCACTTGGGAAGCAGAGGTCAGCAGATCTTTGTGCATTTGAGACCAGTCTGGTTTATGTAATGAGTTCCAGGACAGCCAGGGCTATATAGAGACCCTGTCTCAAAAAAAGTACAAAACTGTGCCTTTGTTTGTGGGTTTACACTAACACCAGGAGAGATCAGATTAAATTGTTGACACCCGTTTTGTGTTAGAGTGAAGAAGTTAGGGCAGAGAAGACCCTACATGTGGTGTCGGGAGGCAAAACCCCATTTGGTGTCAAACATGCTAAGAATATCCATCAACTTTCTTCTTCCTCCCCTTCCTCTCACAGGAAATGTTCTGCGAAGGCCAGGTGTGCAAACAAACGTTCCAGAGAGCCTGAACCGTCCAGCAGCAGAGCCTATTCAAGGCTGCTAAGTGCTGAATTGCCCGCAGAAGGCATGGGTGTTTATCTGTCCTGGTTTGATGAAGGGCCTTGCAATTGGAAAGATGTCATTCAACCTGTGCTGGAAACAATTTGGCTGCAGGACAACCTCAGTTTCAATAAACCTGTCCAAGGGATGCTAATTGTTTTTTCTTTCCAAATTTAACGTGATATCTATCTATCTATCTATCTATCTATCTATCTATCTATCTATCTACCTACCTATCGATCTATCTATACACACACACACACACACACACACACACACACACATTTAAGAGAGGGTCTTACTATGCAGCCCTGGCTGACCTGGAACTCACTGTGTAGACGAAGTTGGCCTTGAATCCACCTGTTGGCCTGCCTCTACCTCCTGAGTGCTGGGATTGAAGGCATGGGTCACCAGGCCAGGCCCAACACAACCCACTTTTATTTTATTTTATTTTTGAGACAGGGTTTCACTGTAGCTTTGGAGCCTGTCCTGGAACTAGCTCTTGTATACCAGTCTGGCCTCAAACTCGCAGAGATCCTCCTGCCTCTGCCTCCTGAGTGCTGGGATTAAAGGCGTGCACCACCACCGCCCAGATCACAACCCACTTTTTTTAAAAAATATTTTTATGCTTTATTTAATTTTATTTTATGTGCATGGGTGTGAAGGTGTCAGATCCCCTGCAACTGGATCTTCAGACAGTTGTGAGCTGCCATGTGGGTGCTGGGAATTGAACCCTGGTCCTCTGGAAGAGCAGTCAGTGCTCTTAACCACTCAGCCATCTCTCCAGCCCCCTACAACCCACTTTTTAAAGGAATGTTTGAAAGCCTGCTCCATCTGTGAAGTGCATGCTAGGGAACAGGACATAACTGCTGCCTCCAAGGCTAGTGAGAAAGGTTGATGAAGTGGCTTCGGAGATGGACAAGTTGTGGCACTGGCAAGGGTGAGGTACTTAGAGGTGGCCTTTATGCGGATGCAAACAGGAAGCAATTTACTGAAAGGCCAGAGGGGAGTGTAACAGGGCTTTCTTTGGACTGCCAGCTCTTGAGTCATGAAACACAGAGCCTTCTTATTAAGTATGAATTATTGGCCTTAGCTTAGGTTTGTTCCCAACTAGCTCGCAAAACTTAAATTAAGCTGCGTGGTGATGGTGGTGGTGCACCCCTGGAATCCCAGCACTTGGGAGGCAGATCTCTGTGAGTTTGGGGCCAGCCTGGTCTACAAAAGAAGTTCCAGAACAGCAAGAGCTGTTATACAGAGAAACCCTGTCTCAAAAAACCAAAACCAAACCAAAAAAAACAAAAAAACAAAACAAAACAAAACAAAAAACCCAAAAAACAAAAACCCCACATCAAAACAAAGCAAAACAAACAAAAAACAAAAAATTAACCCATTTATATAATTTACGTTCTACTACAGGGCTCATTACCTCTCCCCAGCACAGTGTGTCCTACTTCCTCTGAGTCTGTCTGGTGAATCCTGCCTTCTTTGGTTTCTTCCCAGAGTTCCTACCTGCCTATCCTCTCCTACCCATCTACTGGCTGCTCAGCGCTTCAGAAGGTGCCTTAGGCAGATGAGGTACAGATGAGGTAGAATTGAGGCACGTCTTCACAGAGTACCCAAAGATTATCCTACAACAGGAGAGCTCTAGGGAGCTGTTTGCTTCTCTATGGCGGCTCCTGCAGCCTTGAATGTGCAATCCTCAGCCGAGTACAGGCCACTTCACATCTGTATGCAGCCCGGGCTGAGGCAAGAGGGCTGAGCACAGGAAATGCATGGGTGGGGTGAGTAGAGACTGGACTGACAAGGGAGGTCACCAAAGAAAGACCTTAACTGACAAATTTTAAAAGTCACAGTTTGGGTAACTGCAGAGATGTCTAAGAGCCCTAACTGCTCTTCCAGAGGACCCAGATTTAATCCCCAGCACCCAAGTGGCAGCTAACAACTGTTGTAACCCCAGTTCCAGGGGATCCTTTTCTAGCCTCTTTGGGCACCAAAAATGTATGTGGCACATAAACATACATGCAAGTAAAATTCTCATACTCATAAATAAAATTTAGGGCCAACAAGATTGCTCTCCACTAGCTGGGCGGTGGTGGCGCACGCCTTTAATCCCAGCACTCGGGAGGCAGAGGCAGGCGGATCTCTGTGAGTTCGAGACCAGCCTGCTCTACAAGAGCTAGTTCCAGGACAGGCTCCAAAACCACAGAGAAACCCTGTCTCGAAAAACCAAAAAAAAAAAAAAAAAAAAAATTGCTCTCCACTTGTTCTAGAGCCTGATGTTATGGATCCAATCCCCACACTGTGGAAGGAGAGAACTGACCCTCCACAAGTTGATCTTTGACTTCCACATGTTTACCATGGCATGCACACACACACACACACACACACACACACACACACACACTGTCAGATGCCCATTGTAACAGGAAGGTTACAATAAGGTATGATGATTGAACTCCAATTTGACAGAATCTAGAATAGGCAGCAACAAGCTCTAGGCATACCTGGGAGGGATTATCTGGATTTAGTTAATAGAGGTGAGAAGACCTACCCTAACTGGGAGGGCCATTGTCTGGACTGACCCCTCCCTCCCCTTAGGTGGGCTTGTAACCTGGAACTGTGAGTCACCACTAACCCTTCTGCCTTTATCTCCCTATCCTCAGGGTATTTCAACACCGCAATAGAAAGGTAACCTAAGCAGTAGGGGACCTGCTTGATCACAGAGGAGATAGGGTTGTTGGCCAGGGGAGACCCTGGAGTTGCAGATAAGAATGCGCCAGCAGGAAGACCTATTAGAGAAAGTCCTAATATCAGGCTAGGGACTCAAGTCTGGAGAGAAGCAGCCATTTTAGATGGAGAATCCAAGGCCCAAGATAACAGGTGTGTAATGGCTGGATGGAAGGTGAGCACCCTGGGAGTTTGACAGCAGCTGAAGGAGGAGGAAGGGACATGGAGGGGGAGGGGTGTTGCACAGCAGTGGGGGTAGATAAAGGGGCTGCAGAGCGAAGTGTTTGAAGCCTTGGGACCCAGGTAGATGGGAACACCTTTCCTGAGCCTGGTTGAAGTCCCAGCATCGGGAGTCTAAACACAATTAACATTCCCTGTCATGGTTGTCAACGTAAAGACAGTGTATATCAGACTTTAAGGATAGTTCATTGATATTTAATTTTTTTTTTCCTGACAGGGTTTCTCTGTGTAACAGCCCTGACTGTCCTGGAACTCACAGAGATCCATCTGCCTTTGCTGGCCATCTTCACAGAAAAATGCTAGTTGTGTTGAAAGTCTAGAGGTTGAGGCTTCAGTTAGGGACTCTTTTCATTTCCTACATCAAGATGATTTTCCCGTCTTTCTATTCTGCCTCGGAGGGACTCAGTAAAGATTTGGAGAAACATCAGATAGACTAAGACCATAGGACTCGAGCATCTGAGGCCTCAGCCCCACAGTTTATGCCTGGAAATAGCCTAATACTTTCAGAAGGCAAAGGAAGGACTTCCGTGGAGGCAATGGTGTGAAAGCTGCGCCAGGTCGTGGACGCAGCTTCCCTCCCACGGCTTTCTTTTTCCTTACTTGCAGGCTGACGCCAGCGGTCGGCGCTGATAGGGCTCAGATTGGAAGAGTGGCCCCCGCGAGTTCCAACCCGAAGCGTCCACCAGGGGGACTTCTTCGGTGTGCAGGCCTGAGAAAGGCTGCCACGTGTCCCGGTGAGGACCGCGGGGAGCCGCGGGGCGCTGCGGGGACTCGGTCAGCCCCCAGAGCGTGGGCTGCGCTGTCTGTTGGCTGAGTGCAAAGCTGCAATGACACAGAAAAATCAGCTTTTATAGAAAAAAAGAGGAAGATTCTCGCGAAAACGCTTCTGCAAGGTGTCTGAAGCGATCCAGCTTCCCTGGGAGGATAAAGAATTCCAGCTCAGCAGCCAGGACTCCAAAGGGACTGGTGAACAATGGAAAAATCTGTGATTAGGGAGTGGCCTGCAATTCTCCACCGGAACACCGGAGGAGAAGCAGAGACGGCACTTGGTCCTTGTTGTAGCTAAATTTTATTTAATTCCAGCCCAGTAGGGATACATAAACCCTGTCTTAAAACGATACATAGAAACAAGCAAACAAGCTGGGCTGTGGTGGCACGTGCCTTTAATCCCAACACTTGGGAGGTGTATCTCTGTGAGTTCAAGGCCAGCCTGGTCTACTACCAGAGCTAGTTCCAGGACAGCCAGGACTGTTACACAGAGAACCCTGTCTTGGGGGGAAAAAATTAAAAAAAAAATAACTTTAGTTTACATACAAGTGCGCACACACCACACACACACACACACACACACACACACACGTATATATCCTTTTGGGCAGGTATAAGCTTGGAACTTTGTAGCTCTGGCTGGCCTGGAACTCACTGTAGACCAAGCTGGCCTCAAACTCACAGAGACCCACTTGCCTCTGTCTCCCTAGCACTGGTATCAAAGATGTGGGCAACCATGCCCAACTTAATTGCTTTAAATACATACATACACACACACACACACACACACACACACACACATGATATATATATCAGGGTGCAGGAGATGACTCAGCACACAAAGTCATTAACCCTGACAACTTGATCATGACATCTGGAGTTCACATGTTGGAAGGAGAGAACTGAGTCCTGAAGGTTGTCTGCTGACCTCCACACCTATGTTCAGACATGCACACAAATAATAAATACATGTTAAAAATACACCTAGGGAAAAGACAAGATCTTCTGAGTAAATTGGGAGCATGGGGACCTTGGGCGAGGGTTGAAGGGGAGGAAAGAGGCAGGGAGAAGAGCAGAGAAAAATGTAGAGCTCAATAAAAATCAATTAAAAAAATACACCTAGGGTCTAGTAAAGACTTAGAGGTCTAATGCCAGTGTGGACAAGTGCTATCTCCATGGCAGCACACTGGGCTAGCGTGCAGAGTCCCCTGGGCTCAAGCAAGCATTGCAGACAACAAAAAGCACATAAAATTGACCGTATTGGTCACTTTAAACAACACAAATGGGTAGCATTAAGATCATGCATACTGGCCAGACGGCGGTGGTGCTAGTGGTCAG